CCGACGACATTACTTTTTATTTGGTACTTAGAATTAGAAGACTTGTCTTCATAGTGTCTGGCATCCACGTGTCAGAAAGGGAACCAGTCGAAAACGAGCGTCAGTGCAAATTGACACATTGCTGAACTGGGTCCTTTTCGGTCCAGCTGTGGATACATTATGTCATGTATGTTTCTTAATGTCCGTCATTTAGTGTCCTTATATGTACATATATATGTCTGTGTATAAGTTTAACCACTTGTCTGTATCCATGACTGTACCGAATAAATGTTTTTCATTTCATTTCATTACCTTGAATGTATGTTGAAGAGTCTTAAACCGGGACGTTCTTCGTAATATATTTCGGGTGTACCTTCACTACGCCTATTCTATTTTGGATGCCATTCAATCTGGCAAGCAAAAGCAATATCGGCTGATTACGAATAATGTGCTACGGACCTCCATACGGAGTTGAGATAATCTCTTTTCACGGCATTGAAACGTAGTAATACGGTACGTGTCACGTAGGTACCTACGCACAGTGAAGGTAGTTCCCTAATCCATCTTTATGTTCAATAGTTTAGACTATTGAAGGCCTAACGTTACTTTTTCCTAAGCCAGTAGTATTTATACTAATAATACTCATGACATACCTATTATAAATGCGAAAGTGTGTCTTCCTGTTACCTCATTATACTTAAACCGCTGAACAGTTAGTACGAGTTTGAGCTCACGAAAACTATCATAGTTTTCGTTATTGTAAATTATGTTTCTGTGTCCATTTTGGTGAAAAGTAACCAAACATACTTAAAATTTAAGAAGACACAAATGATTTAATGATAGTATTTAAACACTGTTTATTTGTATTGAAACGAAAACAATAAAAACAGTACCCTAAGTACGAGTGCGAGCTCACTAGATTGTCAAGTTTAGTTTAGTTTAGCTTTTGTACATTTGTATTTTTAAGAGGGGAAACGGTTTATCGCGATTTTCGATGAAAATGGCAATATTGTACGTAATTAAAAGATTTACAACTTTTTCACAAAACCTAAAATATCAAAATAACCGAGTTTTACTGTATTTTTGTCCCACGAAAACAATCAGTTTTCGTAATTGTAAAACTCGTACTAAGGATACAGATTGTTTGACTCCTGGTCAGGGACATAGAATTATTAATACTAGGAATCATCATTTAACGGTGTACCACTATGTACCCGTGGTCCTACTGGACTAAGGCGATTAATATGGTATCGATGTATTGAATAATGTCATATTTTTTTTAATTTCGATCGTTCCGAAATTGGAAGTATCAAATATCTATAAATACTTACACTTATTTATGTACGTTCGGGGTTTTTAATTACGAGAAGTAAAATTAAGTAGAATTTTTCAGTTTTCCGTCAGAGGAACGCAATTTTCCTGTTTTACCTAACTGCTTATGTAAAATTGGTATTTGACTGCAAGTAATTGCAGAGTTGATGAACCACCTAGTATGATTAATCCGAAAGTAATAATATTTTTTTTATGAAATTACTTTTAACATCATAAATTTGGAGTCGAGTAATAGAGTTTTGTAATTTTGTATTTGTTTTGATTATTTTGTTGTTGACATTTGTAATTTGGTATTTATTTTAATTATTTTATTTTTTATCGTAATTTGTGTGCTGCTATTATTATTATTCTTCATTTTATGTTATTTAATTGAATAAATACGTAAAATTTTTAGTTTTCAGTCGAAATTATGAAATTTTGTTGGCTATATTATATATATTAAGAAATAGCGCTTGTGTCAATTTATAAAATATTAAGTCCCACTAGTAATCATAATTGTGACGACAACACATACAAAGTAGAAGCTACAGGTAGTATTTCATAAATGTTTATGCATAAGGGCTGTGTCTCACTAGGACATCGTAGCATGTCTTCGTACACGACCAATCTCGCTACTACCGAAGAAATTGTAATTATAAATATTCTCAGACTACGTTGTGTTGTAATTAATATGAAGTTTAAGAAAAAGAGAAGACGATTTAAAAAGGCTATAAGAAATATTGGGTTCATTTCTTAAAATCTGATTTATTATCATTATTTCTTTAAAATGGATCGAGCGCGCAACGCTGACTGAAGTTCGCTATGTGCGTTGCTCCGTCTAGTCTATTTTTTTCAGGGACTTCCGCGTACTGTTGTCCTGTCCGGTAGTACGGGGGACTTTTGCACGCGGTACTTTTAATCCGTCGTGTGCGGATTAAAAGTAATTGTAACTGGTTTATTTGGCGGACAAGAAATACCGCGGACAAATGTCTCTCCTCTGCGTAGGCTAAGATTTACATGCCGTGTTTTGTTAAACATATAATATTTTTTTTATCGTACTGACTTAATTCCTTTTCTTAAATCCATACTAATACTAGCTATCCCAGCGGACTTCGTACCGCCATAAAAAATAGGGGTTGGTGGTAGGAGGATGAAAATTTAGGGTTGTATGTATTTTTGTATGATGTATCATAAAAAAATAAAAAAAAATGTCAAAAAAATAAATTAAGGGTGGACCACCCTTAACAATTAGGGGGATGAAAAATAGATGTTGTCCGATTCACAGACCTACTGAATATTCATATAAAATTTCACGAAAATCGGTCGAGCCATTTCGGAGTAGCGCAATTACGCACACCGTGACACGAGATTTTTTTATATTAGATTATAAAGAGGAAATATTTGATTGTTTGTTTGTTTGCATTGAATATGCTCCGAAACTGATAGAGCGGAAACCACGGTAGTACAATTGAAATCTTCTCCTAGTGAAACACAGACCTTAGCGTTAGTGCTCATCCCGTATTTATAGAATGCAGATAAAACCTTTGTTATTTGCATCCCATTTTCGCAAAATCATATTATAGCTTCAGGTGAAGTGTGAAAATAAATAAAATATTGTTCCATGAATGCGCTCCATTCATGTTTAAGTAATCCATTATTGTCAATGACATGGTGCAGTGACGGACCCAGGAGTTTGTTTCAGAGAAGCTTGGTCCTGATTAGGGTTGATTTTCACTGTATTTAACTTCGTGTGGTATTTCTACAGGTATAGCATAAATAGAGTTTGAAATTCGGTTCGGCATCGAAGCCTTGAAGGGTAGATCTTTGTTCGTAGTGCATTATCAAGTCTTTTGGACACAGATGGCACTCATCGTCTTTTGTCATCGGTATTAATGTGCTTCAATAATACTTGCCATGATCAACAAAGCTACTGTTGCGATAGTAGAGTGAGAACCAGAGGCGTCTCAAGCCCTTGTAGCGTGCAATAATTAACATAGCGCCCACTAATATTCGCGCGGTAAAAATGTATACGCTGCGCCCCGTATGCAACACACACTCTGCACCATAGGTAAAGAAGCCGCCTCTGCCTATTACTTAATTATAGCTAACATGCGAGTTAGACTCGCAAAAGAAGGACATCGTACCAAATCACAATAATTAAAACAGGATCGAGAAAAACAAGAAAAAGCACAAGAAAAGCTTTGTTTTTTAATTTTATTTGATTTCTATTAATGGTTGTTACAGCCGCCTCAGTAACTTTGCATTCTGTGAGAACCTGCTTAGTTTTTACGTTTAAGCGTCAAACCTTATTAATATCCTTTTGAAATAATAAAGTTGTCACCCTTTGGTGTCATTTCCATTAACTCATAGGACAATAGAAATATAATATCTAGGCAAATGTAAGTTTTTTAATGTGAGAACTTTGATGTAATTCGGGAGGTTCGAACCCCTTAGCCACCTGCCCTGGATCCGCCCCTGTCATGGTTTATATTATGGGGTAGTGTTGGCTGAAGCGTCATGAGATCTAAATCTAATATCCCCGTTGATATTCATGGCCCATATACATAGGGTGACGTTCACTAGGGGACTACATATCGTATGATTGTTTGAGTAAATAATGTATGCACTTGATATCGGGATAAAAGTTAATATTAATGGAGAACCAATTATTTCTCTTGCTGCGATTCCACTTAACAGCGTTCAGAACTGTTCTGAGCAAACATTTTTCTGGCTCAGTAAATGGCAAAATCAGAGAACGATGTCTGAATGGAACCAAACCAATGGAAACAAAGCAACATTGTTTTGAGCATTTCATTTACCGAGTGACCAAATGTTTGCTCTGTTCTGTAGGCCTACTCGCTAACAGGTGCGAGTGAATAGTGAGAACGTGACCAATGGTAGGGGTATCGAGCGCAGTAAAAGACGACATCAGAGGGTAGACTGATATGTCTGCCAATAACATCTACCCGCAATTACTTCAGTTACTCAGTGATCATAGCGCTTGCAACAGTGCCGAAATATCGGAGACTCATAAAAAACAAGGTACATGGTAACAATCCCGTTAATAGCTATAATATTCGCTAACTGCTTTTGATAGATGCAAGTGATAATCATCGAGCTATTTAAAAGAAGAAAAGTTTACTAGAAAAAAATCCACGCGGACCAGGCAGCGGACGGGACTCGAACCTGAACCCTTCGCTATCCGTGCGAATGCACTGACCATTATGCTACCACGGCCCTATTTTTTTCTAGTAAACTTTTCTTTAGATTTAAACATCTAGCAGTATGCTTAAAAATAAATAAAAACATAACTATAATTGCTATTTCTTCTTTCAAATGTTTAATACTTGAAAAAGTATTCATTTGACATTGTGGATTACCTACAATGCGAAGAGATGGCGCTGCCTTGCAGCTTAAGGCTAGGAAAATTTCGACGCGGCGAATAGAGCCGTGGTAGCATAATGGTCAGTGCATTCGCCCGGATAGCGAAGGGTGCGGGTTCGAGTCCCGTCCGCTGCCTGGTCCGCGTGGTTTTTTTTCTAGTAAACTTTTCTTTAGTTCGAAATGTACTAAACATTTGGAACATTTCTCTCCCCCTAAGGAGCTAAGCGACTAGTATTTTAATTAGCGAGTCCACGTGTCTATCAATGCATTCCAAATATATATACAGAAAAAAAACTCACAGTGCACTCAAGAAAAGTTGGAATGAAGAGAATACCTTAGTATTGAATCTCAATAAAACAATTTTTCAATGTCTGCTATTTTAAATCAACTAAAGAATATCAAGGCTGTTTTACATAATCTAATAGCCCTTCTTTGTGAATTCCCACTTCCTAAGCGAAGTCATTAATTTCATTTACGCTTCACCCAACATCGTAGGTACGTAACGGAAAAGAAACAAAAGATATATTAAAAGTACCAGTGTAATAATTAAAGCATCAGGTTTTATCATACCGCTAGAACGATCTCTGAGAATCCAGTCGTGGTAAGCTGACACTCTCGTGTACAGAGTAGTTTTGTCGTAGTTCTTCCCGCTCACAACTCCGACCAACACTTCCTTCCGTTCTTGTCTCGTGTTCGTTATCCCGTGACACGCCAAAGGCCCACCAGAATCACCAATAGCTACGTCTCCAAACGTGCTATCCGTACAAATAAAGTTGTTCATATCCATTTGCCAGACAACAGAGCACTGCCACCGAGGCAAAACCCTGATACGGGCCAAAATAAGCTGAGGCGAATAGCGTTCCACCATGTTATCAGACACCTTTCCATATCCAGCCGAGAAGCACGTGTTCGGATAGTCAGCAGCCCTAGCCGCGAGATCTATAGAGCTTACAAACGGCGAGTATATCCACTTCTGATCCACATACACTAGAGCAATATCGTTGGACGGGAACAAGAAGTCCTTGTTGACCACAATCCTTTTTATTTTCCGCCATTGTACTTCTTCTGTAGTCTCGGTTCTGCCGGAGTGAACTATTTCAGTGTCCACACTACCTGCCACGACTCTCAAATAGTCAGGGCGGTGAACGAAGAGGAAATCGTTGGCTTCAAAACAGTGTGCAGCTGATAACACCCTGTAGTCACCTATAATGCTGCCACCACACAAATTTACCCACAACCATTTATCAGACTCAACTTTTCGGCTGACAACCTTAATGGACACAATGTACGGCACCTTGCTGTTTTCCACGGGATCTCCACTCACAATTGTCGGTTTCACGCGATACTTTGAATACTTTAGCGTGGTTATGATCCTTCTGTCGTCAACGCTCATCGTAGTTGATATGAAAACTGTAAGCACATGATGAACAATTAACATAGCAATGTTAACGTCCATGGATTGAATTGAAATCTACTGATATTTATTTTGGATTATTGAACTCTAGTGCATGTCTGAATAATTTTGCGCTATTTACATAACCGCGAATTCTAGTTAGCTGTCAACCACAAAAGTCAAAACAGTAGTGATTAATTTCTGTCAGTAAAGATGATTATCATTTCTTCAGCTTCGTCGTGATGATCATTTGATGTTTTTAAATCTATCCATCAAAGAGAGTACCAATGGTACCATGATGGTATCACATGAGTGAGGAAACGTATGAGCGTACATCTACGTCAATGAATCTAGCTCACCTAGTGGTTTTGTTGTTATGAAGGCGATTTTTATTTCGTTTTTCAACTAATTTTATTACATATTTCGCAAAATAACCTAACAATATATTTAGTATTAAATGTGTACTGATTGTAATTGAGTAGTTCTATTGTTTACAACCATCTCACTGAAAAACCGATTCAGATAAAAAATAACCATCAAATCGATCCACAAATCCCGGATATCTGGCAACAATATATAACAAATAAGGACGTATATTGATGAATTGACAACCTTCTCCTTGTTAAAGTCGATTAATAAACTTATAAACAACGTAAAATATAACGAGGAAATGATGAAACCGATAAAATATGGAAATGATGGAATATGAACCGTCACCGAACTTAAATTTCCCCTTAAAATCATTTAAGCCGCGTAAGTAATGGGAAAACTCTTGACAAATTACGCAACAGTCGACAGTCTAGTCACGGGGATGAGCTTAGCAAACAAATGGGGAATCTTCAAAGAAAATTAAGACGGACGCTAGATAAGGAACCATAGTAATTACAGAGGCAAACTGCCTTTATTACAGCGGTCACACAATCTCTTTTTGTTTATGTTAATTTGGGTAGCAAGGGTTGTGATGACGGTGGAATATCTGAGCTTGAAAATCTTCCGGTTTACGTGCGTTATAGGCCGTAAAACATCATTTCCATTTTTCATTTCTTATTGGACTGGTTCTATTCTTATTTAAAATAGAGAGTGGGAATGAGATAATATAGTATCCATTTCTATACGATATTACATTTATTAAATTTGCATCGTTTTAAGATAGTTATTGTACCTACCAAAAATAGGCAAAATTATCACAGAAATCAATGACAAACGCAATTTAGGAATGGAGACAATATTTTTAAGATAATAAATTTATATACCGCTTTTGTTTGTCTATCTTAGAAGATCAGTGGGGAATTCAAATATTTAAAGAAATAGTTATTATTCCGAGTGTTGTTCACTTCTGATATCGGCACTTCACATGAATATTCGTTTTTGTTATTTGTAAACTTAACATCAGTTTGTACTTTTCATTCTTTTAAAGCATGATAAGGATAGACTGTTGTTACAAATAACAAATACGAATAGCCAAGTGAAGTGCCGACACTCGGCATAACACGAAAAAAAAGTATTTGCCGTTTGGTGTCAAATGTCAACAAACTAGATTTCGCTAGGTAAGTGCTGTTCTGTCGTGTTTTACTGATTTTTTTCCGTTTATTAATAAAATATAAACGTGCTTCGGTTACTAGTTCAACACAACATCAAAACCTACGTATATCACTGAAAATGCGGCTAAATAAAATGATCCGTACGTTGCTTCTCATTTTGATATTTTCCATTAATCACACAGCAAATGAACCCGACAAGCGCGTCCTTACCACACTGAAATATTCCAAAAAGTATGCGCGACCTTCAGTCGTAAACGGAGTACCAGCGAAATGGGGACAAGTGCCTTACATCGTGTCAATCAAAGAGCCAATAGCTAAAGTATCCAAACTAAAGAGTGTTTGGACAAATATTTGCGGCGGCAGCATCATTGGCCCAACGAAAGTGCTCACAGCGGCGCACTGTTTCGAAAGCCGCAACTTCTATTACAAGAAGCACCCGCATAAACTTCGCGTCGTCGCAGGCGAGTTTCTCACACAACTGATCCATACTGGTAACACTTGCACCACAGAAACGTTCCAATGGCGTAGGATAACGAAGGTCGCGACGCACCCAGACTTCTACTTCCCTGATAACGATATTGCTGTAGCCCGTGTCAACCAACCATGGGTTTACAAAGACAACGTAGACTTCATTCTGCCTGCTGTTAGAGGGAACATAGAGTATCCGGTAGGCTGCACAGCGGCTGGGTTCGGCAGCATATCACATACTAAAGGAAGGCAGACGATCTCCCCTGTGCTTCTGGTAGGCCAAATGTTCCTGTTGCCAAAGAAGAATTGTTCCTGGATCTGGGAAATGGACATGGACAACTTTATCTGCACTTATTCTTACATGAGCGACGTGAGTCACGGGGACTCTGGTGGGCCTTTGGTTTGTAAAGGCAGTAAGGATCCTGCAGAGAGGAGACTGAAAAGGAATGCGCTTTTGGTCGGCGTCGTCAGCGGCAAGAACTTCGACAAGACTTCTATATTCACCAGGGTGGCTGCTTACCATGATTGGATCGATAAGAACTTGGCGCAAAGGGCTCGCCTTTCTGTTATCACTCTGACAATAAACTATGTTTTGTTTTCTTTTTAAGTGTTATTTGTAATTGTAATCATCAACTCGGAAAGGGGCCGATACCGACTCATCATCGTTCAACTTGCCGTCGAACAGGCGTCCACCGAACGTAAGTGGATACTTACGTTAAGCTTCAGTACGTTTGGAGCGCCTACGGCTAGGCGACGCCACGCTAACGGCTCACCGACCGCAGGTTGACGGCTTAGGTAGCACCAGTTCGATCCATTATCCATGTTCAATCAGTCATAAAGTAACCAAAAACCACTTAAAACGAAGTGGTTACTTTATAAATAGCACATTCGGCAAGGCAGGCCGCGGAAGGGGCGTGTGTGTGGGGGGGGGGGGGGTCCCGCTATACCTCGGGAGACCCTGCCGTGGAGCCCCGGCGAGGCCGGGAAGCTGCTGGATGCGGGGATGCGGAGAAATCTTTCACCAGGGGATCCCGCGGCTTCGCATCAAGCAATGTTGAAGGTATTCGCAGGACTTTTTTAGCGGATATTATGCCGTAAAGCGCCCGTAAGAGTTTCGAGGTCCTCGGTGGGCAGCCACTAGGGGGTCCGTAAGACTTGCGGGAGCCAGGTGTGAGGTCCGTTCGGCGGTGTGCCTCTTAAAGGCGCCGTTGTCTGTAAATATCATTTTTTACCTGCGTAATAAAAAAAGGGCTCCACGGGGTAGGGGATTGGGTGAGGGTAGGCAACGGCGAGAGTAATATTTTTTTGTATTGCCAGCGACTTTAGGCTATGGTGGCTGCATACCATCGGGCGAGGCGATACCTCTCATCTCTTTTTCTTCTTATCTTAAAGGTACATCGTTGATAGAATTCGATCTTTATAATAGTGACTCTCGCAGATTATTCATTTAGTAGAAGAAAGAAAAAAAGTCTTCAAAAGACAGCGTCTCTTAAGCGACATTAAGTGCCTGCGCTGCGTTAAGCGGGAGCACGGAGCCCGCTCCTTATTTGCCTCCCTTGAAACAAAAAAACGCATAGTTTTTGATCCTATTCATTAGCTTCTTTACTAGATGGTTAGTTAACTGTTTTAACATCTGTTTCTCTTCATCTTTAAAGTAATGGCGCGATTACGCTCTTTCGTTAGCCCGAATAGGAGTGTCAATGGAATTTAGGTAAATGACCTTAGGCCCGTATTACAGAATGAGAACTAAGTGTTGATCTTTACTTGAGTACTGTTAGAAAGGGATGTCGCTATATATAGCATATAGCGACATCACTTTCTAACTATGCTCAAGACTAGATCAATCACTGAGAATCTCTTATCTATTAGACAAGTCCGTCCGCCCGTGGTGCTGTTTCAGCGGCCAAACCGTAAGAGATAGATAAAGAGAATGTTTAAGTTATAAGTTGAGAATAGTCTGATAAGACTACAAACCGGATGTGAGTAACGTAGCACTTCCGGTTTTCGAGAAATCACGTGAGTTCTATTTCAAACGAAACCACACAAAATCTCCGAAGTTCTCAATTAATTAAATACATTTTTTTTTTTTTTGGTGAACACTTGGTTCACTGGTTTGCTAGTCTTTCTATAATACAGGCCTAAGTGTTAATGAACGGAGTCATGTAAGCCCGTATTCGGGAAGATTACCTTTTCTTTACCCGACTCCGTCTTCCAGCCTGCATTCCTATAGGGCCGTCCATATATTACGTCATTCTAAATTAGGGGGGGGGGGGGGGGTTGGTCTGCGGATGACGGTAAATGGTAGATAGGGGGGGGGGGGGATTTCAAAATTGACGTCATTCTTATTTATTTATTTATAGTTTATTGTTCACGTACAAAAAGATTATTTCTAAAAAGAAATTTCTTCCAGCACACCTAGTAAGTGAGACTGCAAATGTGAGAGGCGGCTAAGGCGCGTACAATAGTAAAATAACTCATAATAAACATACATAATGCAACATAGATGTACACAAATACAGTTATAACTACAGATAAAATACTCTAACAATAATATTACATATAATACTAGCTTTTCTCAAATCTGCAATGTTTTAATTTTGTCAAACTGGTAATGACGTCAATTTTGGGAGAAGCGGGGGGGGGTCATTAAGAAATGACGATAGGATGATTGTAGGGGGGGGGGGGGGAGCTAAAATCTGAAAAAATCGATGACGTAATTTATGGCCGGCCCCTATTAAATATTGTTTCGAGTGCCCGAATTCGAGTAATGTCTTTCGTGCCCGAATTCGAAAGCCCGAATACGGGCTAACGACCAAGTGTTATTTGTGCATAAGGATGTAGGTAGGTTCTATTCAATATAGTAAAAATAAACAAAAAGCCAAGCTTAGCTATAAAATAATCATTTATTTACTTATAAACAATAAATCGTTTTATACAAAACATAGCTCGGCATTATATGCCGCTTAATACACATTCATAATAATTATTACATTTATATATTTTCACATTGCGCCACTAGAATGTATCAAGTTTTGTGTTCTTGTCACAAACCTATTGCATTAATGAATCGGTGGTCTCGATTCTGGCATGATTCTCTAAACCTAAATTTGACAGCAGTGTTGTCTTGTCATTTTCTATACAGAATGAAAAAGAGAGAACGATGTTAAATTTAGGCCCGTATTACAGATTAACAACTAAGTGTTGATCTTTACTTGACAGTTAGAAAGGGAGATCGCTATGTGCTTTATATAGCGACATCCCTTTCTAACTATGCTCAAGACTAGATTAATCAATGAGAATCTTTCTATAATACGGGCCTTAGTTTTAAGTTTAGAGAATAATGCCAGAATCGACACCAGTTTAGCAACATTAGTTCAGTTAGTATTCTTGCGGAAGACATTATACCATAAAAATAAAATAAATATGAAGAGATTGGAGTTCCTGCTCGAAGGACCAAAATAATTAGTACTATTAAAATTACTCAAATAACAATGAAATGGCAATAATGGCGATAGATAACAAGTAAAATATACACGCTCAATGTGTTTATTAAATGATAAATAGACAACATAGCAAGAAGCTAAAGCAATATTGTACCTTTGAGCCTTTCATATAAGATTTTATTGTAAATGTCTGCTGTAAAAAGAAAATTGGGATATAAAATAATGTCATAAAACTTTATTAGAAATAAATTGGTAATATTTAAAAGTACTTAGACTAGGTTGATCGGTAAATTGTAACGACTTTCCTCAATAACCAACACACAACAAAATATAATATTATAACAATACATTAAAACAATTGAACTGTTTGATTGATATTTTTTTTATTAAATCATATAATGAGGAAGTGACAGGGAAAATGCGCAAGAAAAGTCCGAAAGGTATTATTTATTATATTTATAAGCATTAAACTGCTAGATTTTACTGCGAAAATAACAGTTTTAGTGTAAAAATAATGCCTAATGACTAATGCGGCATCACGAAAGTGTAACTTTGAGTATTGTTGATTCTTATGTTTATCTGAGCAATACACTATACAATATAGCATCAAATTGCTATATTTACTAAAATGGCGTCAGGATAAGTATGTAGATATTGTTATGATGATAATTGAAGATAGTCGTTAATGAACAAAATAATACTCTAATATAAAAATAAACTTACTTAATGCTTACAGTCTAATTAATAATGATATGAATCCAATGGAATAAATAAGAAAGTAAATGATTTCTGATTACAAATAATACATTCAGTACATAATTCAGTCGATTGTTTATAAAAGTGTGACAAAACAATATTTACTATATACTTTTTGTTTTTAAATTAATCGACCTAAATATTCTGGTTACAAAAGGCTACTTTTCTCTAGTGTAACCTTTACCTAATAATCATGCGTTTAAAACGTATACTGACAAGAAATTTTTATTCTTACATTTCATAGAAATAACCTTTTAAATTTCTTAACAACGGTTGCCTGTGTTTCGAGACATTTATAACTACTAAACAGCTACTGTCTTATTAATAAACGAAGGCTAAGACCACATATCAATATATATAAAACTCAAAGGTGACTGACTGGCATAGTGATCGATCAACGCCCAGCCCAAACCACTGGACGGGATGGGCTGCAATTTGGCATGCAGGTAGATGTTATGACGTAGGCATCCGCTAAGAAAGGATTTTTATCAATTCTACCCCCAAGGGGATAAAATAGGGAATGAAAGTTTGTATGAAACTTTGTCAATTTTAAACCGATCGGGCTGAGACTTTACATGCAGGTATAAGAAGAATCATAGATGAATGTCATTATGTATAATACAAGCCTAAAAAAAATTGTAGTCTACACTTCAGCTCTACACCGAAGCGAAGCGATGGCGGGCCGCTAGTTCTTGTATAAAATTAAAAAAACCTTATGCTGTTTCTCTTTGAATTAGTACATTTGACAAAGTTGGAGTAATCAATCATAATCATTTATTCAGTTTAGGCTGTTACAAGCACTCATGAATGTCTAGAATCTACGTCATCGGTTCGTTAATCTACGGCGGGAGATCTTATACTGCGAAGAACCGGCAAGAAACTCAGCAAGGGCAGTGATGTTTAAACCAGGAATAAGTTTAGATTAGATTTAAAAATGTGACCACAAGTAGGCTTAAAGTCTGTAATACTTATTTAATCCGTGTTTTGTTGACAGGGCGTAAATAAAAAATGCCAGTAGACCTATTCGCTAGTTGCTTTTGACAGATGGAAGTGATGGCTATGTAGTTATCCACTACTGCTTTATTATAACGCCACTAAGATACTTGTTCTGTAAAGCATCGATAATAAATAAATATCTCCAACACTCACACCAATTAGCCTAGCCCCAAAGTAAGCACTGTAAGGCTTGTGTTATGGGATGCTAGGGTAACGGATAGAATACATATACTGTACATATATAAGTATATTTATATAGAAATACATATTAAACATCCATGACTGGAGTACAAATGCTCGTATTCATCACACAAACATCTGCCCCCACCGGGATTCGAACCTGGGACCTCTCGAATCGGCGCCACCATGAAACCCGGCGTACAAACCACTCGGCCACGGTGGTCGTCTGTGATGTCAGATGTCAAAAAGTTAGCCAAGATGCCGACAGGTCACTTCGTTTATTAATAATCTCCCTAGTGTTAGTTAGGCTGATCACTAGCTTATAAGTATTTGTTATTTAATTCCTTAACAATGAGGTCTGTTATTCCCTATATTCATAAGTACATTATCATAATTCCATTTCTTTATCAAAAACTATTTTTGCAACCTTAAATTTTTTTACCATTATGTTAAGTCGAATTCAGTTATTTTGGATGTATTAGTTCGATTTTACAGATATCTGGCAGTATTATTTGAAACGACGAAAGAAATTAGATCCAAGTTTAATTAAACAAAGAAACAATAGATTTGACTAGTCTACAACATTAAAAAATATTTGTTGTTGTGTGTTTAAAGAAATATTTTATTAATTTAATTGCAAAACCATGTCATTAGAGTCCATAATTGTGTACCTTTTTTGCTTTTGGGTAAAATTAGCTTACGCATTTATATATGACTGGATTCAAATGACACAAAATTAAATTCCATCGCTGCGATTTCAAGCACTGTCTGTTTATCAAGGGCAATAATATGTGCTAAACTTTAGCGGCTTAAATCATTTAAAATGCATAATATACAAATAACAGTAGATAAACAATGAATCTGCATAGAAAGAAATCTTTAAAATATGTCCTAATATACCTACTTTATTCTTATTAAAGACAATATTACAAAAGCATATCCTTGATAATTCAAAAATAAACAATAGATTATGCAAGATGTAATCATATTTTTCGTGTTATTAAATACAAACTGTGGTTGATCACATTTGCAAAATATCACGCAACTAACTTCAAGACAGTTTTAAAAACTGAACAGTGTTTCTATACAAAAAAAAAAATAATAGTATTTTTTTCAATAGCACAAAATATTTCAGCCAATAATAAAACAGCGCGTTGATGCAAGTAAAGAATGAAAACATCATTATAATGCTCATTACATGTTCGACCTTATGCGTAATTCTCGCAAGGTCTAAATTTGCAATATTGGATTTTCAATCGTTATTATTCGCGGTCTTTGTATTCCCAGATATGTGACTTTATATAATGGTACTACTTTCATTGCAGAGACCTATTGGAACCAAAGTCTACGACACTAAACCTAGTATGATAAGACTCCCAGGTTATATACATCTCTTATCTATTAGACAAGTCCGTCCGTCTGTCTGTGGTGCTGTTTCAGCGGCCAAACCGTAAGAGATAGATAAAGAGAATATTTAAGTTATAAGTTAAGAATAGTCTGATAAGGCTACAAACCGGATTTGAGTAACGTAGCACTTCCGGTTTTCGAGAAATCACGAATTTCAAACGAAACCACACAAAATCTCCGAAGTTCTCAATTAATTAAATACATTTTTTTTAAATCAGGTTTTGGTGAACATTTGGTTCACTGGTTTGCTAGTATTATAATAATATCTATTATTTGACAAGGTTTAGAAAACGATCTCACGTTATTTACTAATGTTTATGGAGTCCATAAAAAGTGGATATTTTTAATTATGTTGCGTAATTCATAAAAAAACTAAATTGAAAATTCAGTTTTCAAGTGGCCGCCGAAAACGTTGCTCTGGACATAATGGCGTCTCACTAGTATGTGACGCCACACGGCTGTCATTAAAACGTCAAACGATACAATGTAATCTCACTTTGACCGGAATTATACTAGCGTGTGACGTCATTTTAGTCTTAGCCAATCCCAGGCGTATTCCGTCACGTAACCATGGAGCAAAAAAACATTTCTATTTAAGGATTTTATAGAAAAGTTACTAATTATTTGTTCTTTCAGAACAGTAAAATCGCTGCTAATATTTTCATATATTCATATTAATACAGATACCAACAATTCAGCAAACAGCCTATTAGGAGAGTCTTACCATATTAGAAATCGTATATTTATTGGTTTTTCCATATTTTTTTTTTATTGCGAAGCCAGGTTTTTTGCATTGCAGCATCTTCATTTCGTATTCACTCGTTAATGACGCGTCTCTTAATATACAAGGTTTAGTGTCGTGGGTTCTTAGACTATATATTTATATTTCTAACACATACCCTACTGGTGGATATCCGTAGAAATGCTTATTTGTCCTGAAGTTGCACATAATTAGCAGGGAAGAGTCCGTACGCGCCTTTACATAAACCTTGCCACCAGCCTTCGTCAATCTGTAGAACAATAAAATTATTTATCACTAGCTGTGCCCCGTGGTGTTACCTGCGGTTTATTAGGGATATTTTCCCGCAGTAAAACGTAGTCTATGTGTTAATCCAGGGTGTCAGCTAACTCCACTCCAAATTTTATTAAATTCGCTCCAGCCGTATAGACATGAAGAAGTAACAAACATACACACTCACAAACTTTCGCCTTTATAATATTAGTGTATCATCATCATCATCGGCCTATTAATGTCCCCACTGCTTGGGCACTATGGATGGAATGTGGAGATTGGCAGATGACCCACCACGCGGGCCCAGTGCGGATTGGCGGGTGCTAACGACTGCAGATACAGCCGGCACCAACGGCTTAACGTACCTTCCGAAGCACGGAGGAACAAGAGATAGAAGATTTTTGGTCACCCATCCAATGACCGACCACTGCGAAAGTTGCTTAACTTCAACAATCGCAGCCGAACGCGCTAACCACCCGCGCAATGGAGCTCCTCAAATTATTTGTATCATACTTTTATTTTTGAACAATTCGCTAAAACATTTCTTAACTGAATCTAAATAGCCGTGAATAGACTATAGATCCTGGAATTAACATAAATCGATAAAGAACACTCACCATGACGATATTAGTGATGAGATCATCAGGATCGAAGGATATTTCATCAGGGGCAGCGGCTTGGTAGTCATATAACGCTCTCGCTATATAACCATCTTCGTCTGGATCTTGGTCTGTGGATAATTCTTCTTCCCAGCCTACTGGAGATACCACTATAGTGGGCTGTCTGCTTAACTGAAAGAGGAATGGACTATGATTTATGGATTCTTCGACGACCTCCGTGGCCGAGTGGTTTGTACGCTGGGTTTCATGGCGTCGCCGACTCGAGAGGTCCCGAGTTCGAATCCCGGTGGGGGCAGATATTTGTGTGATGAACACGAGCATTTGTACTCCAGTCATGGATGTTTAAATATGTAGTATGTGTATTCTATCCGTTACCTTAGTATCCCTTATAGTGCTTACTTTGGGGCTAGGCTAATTGGTGTGAGTGTTGGAAATACTTATTTATTCTGATTATGCGTCGTGAGTTTTTTGCCTGCCTATGTCTAACAGTTTATTTAAGCCTATGATTTATATACATTATGTGTACTAAGGTTTCGGGAAATTTTCAATAAAACAAAAAAATAGAAATTATTCATTTAAATTTAATTTATCGCCTTCAAAAGTTGCATTACAACAGCTCCACCGCTTCACCCAATCCTCCATACATTTTTCGTAAGCTACTTGCGGTATGGCCTTTAGCTCATTCAGCGAATTTTCTTTTATGGCTTCTAACGACAAAACATTTTCCTCGAAGTGGTAATTTTAATATGGGAAAAAAAAAGGCACACGGAGCCATATCAGGTGAATACGGTGCTTGGTCGAGAACTCTTGTTGAATTTATCGCTAAAAACTCTTTTACAATAATGGCAGTGTGCATTATCATGGTGCAGCATCCATGTGTTGTGATGCCAAAAGATCGCGAGTTTTGTAACCAGCTTAGCTGGAAAAGTTCTAGTCTATTATTCATCGATAATTTTATTTATTTATTCTATTAATGTCCTCACTGATGGAGCACAGTTCTTCCCTATGGATGAAATAGGGAGATTGGGCGACCCATCACGTAGGCCCAGTGCAGATTGGTGGGTGCTAACGACTGCAGATGTAGTCGGGACTAATGGCTCAACGTGCCTTCCGAAGCATGAAGGAGCTCGAGATAGGAAGTTTTCGGTCACCCATCCAATGACCGACCCATCCAGCTCCTGAGATAATTTATCTATACTAGTAAAAACGTCTTTGAGTTTTGTCAGGATTATGAGATACAGTCGTTTACGAGTTAGTTCTATTACATAAGCGCGGGCATAAGTATGTAAATATATTCGTGTTTATCGAACTAATAAATGCCCTTCCCGGGTTTCGAACCCAGGACAATTGCAGCAGAAAATTTCAAACTAAGTGATAGATTTTAGAACATTTAATAAAATCTATATTGCAATGGTTTGAAGAATGGGGTCAATTACATATCAAAAACACACAGACAGAAGAACTATATATATATATATAAAGAAAAAATACTACGACTATAGGCTATTAGAGCACAACTAGCAAACCAGTGAACCAAATGTTCACCAAAAAAAAAATGTATTTAATTAATTGAGAACTTCGGAGATATTGTGTGGTTTCGTTTGAAATAGAAATCACGTGATTTCTCGAAAACCGGAAGTGCTACGTTACTCACATCCGGTTTGTAGTCTTATCAGACTATTCTCAACTTATAACTTAAACATTCTCTTTATCTATCTCTTACGGTTTGGCCGCTGAAACAGCACCACGGACGGACGGACGGACGGACTTGTCTAATAGATAAGAGATTCTACAAATATTTCTACATCGCTACTCACCTCTTCCTTTTCTTCTTTAGCTTCCCCTACGAGGGTGACGTCGGGTAAATTGGCCGGTTTCACGTCTTCCGGTTGCTTCCCTTCCGGTTCGACTTTAGCCGGCGCCGATCTCGCTACTTCCGCTGCTTCTGTCTCAGTCTTTCTCACTGTTTCTGTGACTTCCTGTTTCGGAGGTTCTGGCTCTTTCTGTTTCCTAGGTTCTGGCTCTTTCTGTTTCACTGGTTCGATGGTTTGTCGTTGTGGCGGTTCTGATTCCACTTCTTTGGCTAAGCGGTCGGTTTCCTATGGAAATATTTGAATAATATCCGTCTTTATTTACGGTATAGTATTTGACACAGGTGCAAAGAAAAAATTAAACAAATATTAAGTTTAGTTTAATAAATGAAGCGCGTTTAACAGAATGTTCACATAATCTAATAATAATCATAATTTGTACTCCAGTCATGGATGTTTAATATGTATTCTATCCGTTACCCTAGCATCCCATAACACAAGCCTTACAGTGCTTACTTTGTGGGCTAGGCTAATTGGTGTGTGTGTTGGAAATATTTATATTTATTTAATCCTCGATATTCCAGACTCCGTGGTCAAAATACTTTTAAAAAAGTAGTATAAAAGTGTGCTTTTAAATTATTGCTGTGCATGAAAATACAACTTCATTTCATGAAAATTTACCGTCTCATCAAATAATCTTTTACATCACTGATAGTGCTTCAATCTCAGCTTGAACATAATAGCAATATTGTAATTTAAAAAAAAACTAATTTTAGCATAACAATAATTATGGATAACAATTTATGGGTTTTTGTATAATGTTATTTATATTTTTAATTATTGTTCAGAATATTTGGTTTTTTATGAAAGTGTAATTATTAATAATTTTATCTTAAGTACTTCCAACACAATGTTATATTGGTTGGGAATAAATAGATAAATATTCAATCAGATATGATAGGGGAAAATTTACCTTAAAGATTCCGATATAAAACCGAGTACTACTGTATTTACTCACCTTCTGTTTGAGGTCTTTGTCCAATTGATCTCTTTGCTGCCTTATCCTCTGTACAGATTGGAGGGCTTCCTAAAAGGTAATAATAATCTTTATTAAACAAAATTGATTGTCTGTAAAGTAGGATTACGGATGATAGTTTTACGCGATAACGTCATAAAGAAACTTTGATGAAAAATTACATATTTTTTAGCTCTGACGTCACGCGAGAAGAGAGATAAATGTGTACAAGCCGACGCATGGGCTGATCGTGCCTCTCTGTCGCCTTTTTTATTTTTATTTATATATTCCAATATGACATTTAACTAAGTTTACGATACATATCTATCGCCAAACTGTTTTCACAGTTTGTAGGCGTTGCGCTTATTTCCATTTTATAAATACCAATTCAATGACATAAACTGTATTTAACAAAGAGAATATTACTAAACATGGAGCAGGTACATGCTTAAAAAAATAAAAATTATATCAAATTTATAATTAGAAAAAAACACTTCTACTTACATACATAATAACGAAAATACGTATTTTTTTGCTATTATTTATAATTTAATTCTTTTAAATATTATCAACTTATAATTGTTTAAATATTATCAGCTTCTTCCGCGCTCTCGCTTGCACGCTCAGGCTCAGGCGGAATGTGACACTTTTTCGTACGTGCAGCCGGGGTTCATCAATTTATAAGACGTTATCACGTCAAAAAAAGTGACATTATGGCTCATAAACTTTAGCTTTTATTTATATAGACTGTGCGGCCTTTATATTTCAACAAATCTGTATTATATGAAAGGCAACAGTTACTGACTGATCTATCAACGCACAGTTCAAAAAACTGAACTGTGTTTGCGCCGAAATTTGGCACACATATATGATGATGACTTAAGAAAGAATTTTCCGAAACTCACCCCTTAAAGGGGTAAAACGGGCGTTTCAAGTTTGTATGGGAAACCAATATTTTCAAGCATAGAAGTCGCAGGCACCCACTAGTTGAAAATAAGAACATGTCACTAGTTACGCATTAAAAGAACGGGTCACAGGTTCAAAATAACAAAAACTAGATATAAATTGAACATAAAAACACATATCGACAGTGAAAAGGCAAAATCGCTTATACGTCACTTTGGTCGAAAATGAGTTATTTAAATATATCATTTTGATCAAATATTTTTTCTGTTCCCTGTCAATCTGTTTATGTTTCGTTAAGAATTAAGTACTTTTTGGCGCTTAAGCAACTTTTTCGAAGATTTTGATTGTAACATTTACTTTTGCATTTGCATTGTTCTTATTGTTTTCTCATTCAATACCCTTTTGCTTATTTATAATTTTACTTTGTCAGAAAAATAAACCATTATTAATTCAAATCAAATTCAAAATCATTGAAATTGTTCGTTCACAACACTGAAGCTACATAATTTTTTGTGTTTTTTGAATCAATGGCGCTGACGCCCTACTATTTGGCGTATGATTTGACGTTTGCTTGACAAAAAATGTAAGGCGTGCCGAGTTATTTTCGCTTAAGCGACAGCTAATTCGTAAAGTAAAGGCACTATGTTACTTTTTAAATTTTAGGAGGATATTTAGAAAATATTATTTTATGAATATTTTTTTTATTTTTATGGCGCTACTTCTCATAGACAATGAGTTGTGTTTTTCTGTGAAAAAAAACTTTGATCCTCGTTTCTATAAAATTGCTAAAGTGGCGTTTAAGCGATTCTGCTTTTCCACTGCTGATATGTATTTTTATTTTCAATTTATACCTAGTTTTTATTATTTTCAACTAGTGACCCATTCTTATTATTCCAAACTAGTAACTGTTCTTCTTATTTTCAAATAGTGGGTGCCTGCGACTTCATCTGCTTAAAAATATATGTTTCCCATACAAACTTTAAACGCCCGTTTTACCCCTTTGTGGGGTGTAATGTTATGTAAAAGTAGGTATCCATAAACTCGCCTGTTCCTTCTCCTTGGCAATGTTCTCGAATTTGGCCCTAATCGAGGAAGGTTTGGCGCCGCCGATGTCTGGCTTCTGTTTGGTGTAGTTTGTTCCCACTTTTTCGACCTCGTCGAATCTGTGCGCCGATTTGTCAACGCGGTCCGTCTCCACGCCGAATTTGCCACCGAAGCCCTGGACAATGACAATAAAAAATAGATAGAAAAATAAAATCTTTATTTCTGCTTAATGTTTTTTCTAGAAAAAAATTTTCAGTGATCGGGGTCCTCTGTTGAGCTAAAAGAAACACAAATGTCCGTACTCCGAGAAGCTCATTAATTTTTCAATTTGAAAATTTTACTGGATAAACCCCGCGGTCCAGTCAGCAGACGGGACTAGAACCCGCGCCCTCCGCTACTCGGGCGGATTCACTGACCAATTATGCTACCGCAGCTTTAATGGCCGTGTCGAATTCCCTATAGTATTTCTTAGGCTGCAAGGCAGCGAGATATTTTCGCATAGTAGGTAACTCACAATGTCAAAAGTACTTAACCTTACGTAGTACCTTTACAAGTATTAAACATTTGTAAGAAAAAATAATAATGCCGAGTTTTTTTACTTCAAGCATCTAACTGCAATACAATGAAAATTATTTTAAAAGTTTTTGGTCACCCATCCAATGACCGACCATTGCGAAAGTTGCTTAACTTCCACAATCGCAGACTGAACGAACGCTATCGAGCTCCGAACCTCAGACCTGTTACTGAACGAATTTTGAAAGCTCCGTAATCGTATCGTCATGGTCCTTAACTTTGACGAACTTTATATCTGTATTTTTTTGGTTGATTAACAAAAAAAAGGTAAGTGATTTTTGTCGGAATTTCATTGAGTACGGTTGGCGTCTTATTTTAATTATTCTTAAATTCGTTCATAGTGGATATTGTGAAATAAAATTGGATTTGGTGTTACAACCGTCTACATTTTAGATTCAGATTTGTGTTACAATCTTTAAAATAAACGCTCTTCCGGTCAAGTGGACGTGAGAACTTTATTGTAGTGTTGACTACCTCACAGAGGCTTATCGAAAAAGCCAACTCGAAACATTTCGTGCCAAGAAACATTAGAATGCGTCACACCGACATTGTAAAGTACAAAAAATAATAATTAATACTTAAGACTTATTATGCTGTATGGGCATTGTTCCGTTTGCCTTCCCTGAAAAGGGAGAATCTGAAAAAAAGTAGTAGTGTCCATAATTTTTTGACAATGTAACTGACGATGACGGACCAAATTGAATTTTATTTACTTTACCCTAGTGATTATGTTCATGAATACGAACAGCTTTGAAACTCAACAAAAAAAAGCTTTTTCATACAAATTGTCCATACCTACTCGACCCAGAATGTATGGAACAGGTGATTTTTTTTTGTTAAGTTGCAGCATTGGTACCATAGTGTACGTTGCACATATTCATGAGCACAATCACCACCTAAAAAAAAATACGATTATTGATTGACACGTTGTATAATAAATACCATTTACCTTCTTATGATCCAGTTGGCTGGCATGAGCAGCTGCCTTTTCTCTGTGCTCCCAGCCCACTGCCGAAGCGTCCTGTCTGTCTGTCTGTACGCCGTATTTGCCACCAAAACCGACCGCGTAATCTGTATCAAGATGAATAAAATTCAAACTTAAATTTCGTTCATTCAGAGTTGGTTGTAACCATAGAGGTATAAGAATAGAGTAGGGGAGATATGGAATCTACTACAAGTGGAATTGTCCCTCTAATAGAAAGAGAAAGAAGATGAGAGACCGCTAGCTTTCTCTCTCTCTAATCGCGCATGCGCATTGGCAACCGTAAGCATCTTACTAATCCGATGTGATGCCATTGGATGCCATGCGTCACAAGAGAGAGAGATAACTAGCGGTCTCTCATATTCTTTCTCTTTCTACTAGACGGACACTTTTAGAGCCGCCTTCCCCACTCTATTCCTATACCTCTATGGCTGTAACGTGTACTTTTTTATGACAAATTAAACTGCCAAATCAATCTATCTCTGCATTAGGACGCCTTACATCATGTGAGGTGATATCACTTGCTTAGGCATTCTCAAAGAAAACAAAAAAAAAACGAAAATGAAACGAACGATCTCCCGGATAGTTAGTAAAGATGGGTGTTCCTCAGGGCTCGATTCTTGGTCCTTTCTTGTTTTTAATTTATATAAATGACCTACTTTACTTTGTAAGGAATAATCACGAGATAGTATTGTTGGCAGATGATACTTCACTTTTATTTCAAATTGGTAAATTCGTAAAGTGATAAAAATCAAGGAGATATCAGTCGAGAACGTTTGTATAGAAAAAACATTGCCCGCCTCCCCTCTTAAGACTCACCTTTCTGCGAATCATGTTTGTGTTGGTCTTCCTTATGGTCCCAGCCCACAGCGGATGCGTCCTGCCTGTCCGCTTGAACTCCGAACTTCCCACCGAACCCCACGGAATAGTCCTTCTGGGAGGGATGCTTTTCTACCTGCTCGCGATGTTCCCATCCGGCCGCACTCTGTTTTAAGAACAATAATAATCATCATCATCATCATCAGCCTTTAATGCTGAGGCACAGGCCTTCGCTATGGATGGAATAGGGATGGAGATTGGGCCATGACCCACCACGCGGGCCCAGTGCGGATTGGCGGGTGCTAACGACTGCAGATGCAGCCGGAACCAACGGCTTAACGTGCCTTCCGAAGCACGGAGGAACTCGAGATAGAAGATTTTTGGTCACCCATCCAATGACCGACCACTGCGAAAGTTGCTTAACTTCAACGATCGCAGCCGGACGCGCTAACCACCTGCGCCATCGAACTCCTCATACATACATACAATAATAATCTTTATCTCTGAACCATGACGTATAGAATAAACAATTAAGCGTTAACAACCATAGTGGTCTAAGACTGTGTTACAGTTATTAGCGGCCACTTCAAAAGACAGGCACATTACAAACATGATTAGAATTAAACAAGGTATTAATAAAATACATTACACTGTGTGTGTGTGTGTGTGTGTGTATGAGTGAGTGTGTATATGTAGTGTGTGTGTGTGATAGAGATGTGCGTGTTTTACTTAATTAATGCCTCCACAGTGTCATATTCCAAGTCAAATAACCACCCGCTCAATTTGATTTAACATTCATGTTTTGGAAGAGGCTAAATATAAAGCTTTTTATTTAAAATAATCTTCTATCAATAAGTTTTTTTATATGTTAAAACAGCGGCAAACTGGCATATGGCCCGCCTGATGGTAAGCAGCTACCATATACGCTTGCTGACGATTCTAAAACTCATCATTCGAACCATTGACCTACCCTGACCCAATTCCCTACTCCGTGGAGCCCTGAAACCTTAAACCAAGTCTCCAGCAAATGTTATTTAAAAACAATCAACAAACACACACACACACAAAACTTTGTTTCTGAAACATGTTTCTCTACACACGCCGTTTACTGCTTACGTGGCTGTCGTATACAAAATACACAGAGGCTTCACAGGCTGCGTTCCAAACTTGTTCCAATTACCTACTATCCAGGTGAAAAAAATGACAAATTTGTCAAAAGTTTCATACGTTTTGTGTCAAAATTGAAACGTCAGAGTGAGAAGTTGCATTTGAAGCGTAGGTTTGGGGGGCTTTCTAGTTGTCAAAAAAAATGGCCTATGAAACAATACCTTGCCCCTCGACCCACGCTGGAGTGATTTGTGTATATATTTTCTATCAGGCTGGGAAAGCAAAAACTTTGTTGATGCAAACAAATACGTGTAGTGAAACAAGGTTTTGTGTAGACGATTTTGTTGTATATTGACATGTTTTTGTTGATTGTGTAGGGCAAAAAACGCGCTGGAGACCCGTCCTTACTCACCGACAGAAAAACATACAACACAACCAAAACATAGTGTTATTTTACTGTAATATTCTGTAAGATGGAGATTACTTCCCCAGACGGGCGCTCCAATTCGAGTGTGCGGTTGTGACAGGTAATATTCCTCTTTACATCTGACTGATAACCTGACAAGCGTCAGATGGCGTTTTTAACGTCAATTAAACGTCATCATATATTCTAATTTTTGGTACGGCAATTCGCATTTCTATAAACAAGAAGTTTAGTGTCGATGATGTTGCCATTTTCGGACCAAAATCAACTTGTGTTTTTTGCTCAACATAAAAAGAGGACGATCAATAAATTAATAAAATCATCATAGATGTATAGCTAATGATTTTCAAGTCATGATACGTTGGCGTCAAGTTCAAACAAGAGTTTTATTATTTTAGTACTTAGACCCAAAGTGGTAAATAACAAACACAATTGTTTCGTTTAACTACTTTTAATTAATGCAACTTTGAATAAAGTACACTCCTTCAGTTGCACATACAAATTTATCGTTTTCCACAACCTGTTTTAGCGTGTCAATTTATGGCCAGTCAAGCTATCGTCTAGCGGATGGAAATAAAAAAAACCGCCATATACCGGAGCGTGTGGTAAAATTTTTACAGCACGCTCTGTTCTCTCTGTATGGTGCGTAATTTTGAAGTGTCGAACAATGTATACAACCTCCATGAATGCATTTTTTTAGCAAATGTGTCGAATAATATATTGTTTGCTTCTAAAGAAAGGACAATGGCGAAATATTTGTTGAAGTAAATCTTTAGCGTCTATAGATGTCACTATCAGAAAAGTTAATGAATAAATCTCAAAAGATTTATTAAACAATTGAGGATGGTTGTCTAAGTCTGGAATTAAAAACTTAATAAAGGGAAACGCAAATCGAGAATCTAAACTCAATAATTTAACATGCAATTCATTTATAGACGCAAAAAAATTTTTCAACAAAAATTTGTATGAGAGTTCGCCATTGTCCTTTGAGCTACCGGGCGGATGTGCGTGGATTTTTTTCTGGGCAGGCAGGCAGGTAAATGCTTAAAAAAATAAAAATATAACTACAATGTTTCCTGGTAGGGCCTGAATAATTGTATACCTATATAGTAAAAAATCTGTCATTTATTTCACTGACCTTGTCGACCCTGTCGGTCTGAACACCAAATTTTCCACCGAAGCCCTGAGCGTAGTCGGTCTGAGAGACATGCTTCTCCACCTTCCCTACGTAGTCGTGGCCGACGGCGCTGGCGTCCATACGGTCCGTTTGAACGCCAAACTTACCGCCGAAACCTATTATAATAATGATGGTATTAGTGATTAACTAGCAAACCAGTGAACCAAATGTTCACCAATTAAAAAAAAAAGTATTTAATTTATTGAGAACTTCGGAGATTTTGTGTGGTTTCGTTTGAAATTCGTGTTTTCTCGAAAACCGGAAGTGCTACGTTACTCAAATCCGGTTTGTAGTCTTATCAGACTATTCTTAACTTATAACTTAAATATTCTCTTTATCTATCTCTTACGGTTTGGCCACTGAAACAGCACCACGGACGGACGGACTTGTCTAATAGATAAGAGATGATGAAGGATCAAACTAGAAGGCAATCGACGACCTCCGTGGCCGAGTGGTTAGCACGCCGGGTTTCATGGTGTCGCCGACTCGAGAGGTCCCGGGTTCAAATCCCGGTGGGGGCAGATGTTTGTGTGATGAATACGAGCATTTGTACTCCAGTCATAGATGTTTAATATGTATTGCTATATAAATCTAATATATAAAATTCTCGTGACGCGGTGTTTGTGGTTAAACTCCTCCGAAACGGCTTTCCCGATTCTCATGAAATTTTGTGTGCATATTGGGTAGGTCTGAGAATCGGACAACATCTATTTTTCATCCCCCTAAATGTTAAGGGTAATCCACCTATAATTTTTTTTTTTTCAATTTTAGTATTTTTTTATGATTCATCATACAAAAATAAATATAACCCAAAATTTTCGCCCTTCTACCACCAACCCCTATTTTTTTATAGCGGTACGAAGTTCCCTGGGTCAGCTAGTATACTTATATATGTACAGTATATGTATTCTATCCGTTACCTCAGTATTCCATAACACAACCCTTACAGTGCTTACTTTGGGGCTAGGCTAATTGGTGTTTTTTTATTTAAAGAAGGACTAACTGCCATACTCGGAGAGAAGATGTTGAACGCACTCTATAGAATGAAAAGCCTACAACACGCTTACGAAAGTCGGAGTCAAAACAATATAAACCGGTTCCAACGGAAGACCAGCGCGGATAGCAACATCAGCACCATGCTGAGTTGGGACCGATTTGAGAAAAAAAAATTTGAGACATAACAACACCCTTTTCACCGTGGTTCTGCATAACCCCATCTGAAGGGCCAACAGTTTCTGCTTACGTTTGGGATTTCTTTGAATTCGCGCCTTCGCAGCTTTTATCACTGCTGGAGTCCTAACAGACCAAAGGGCCACTTCCTGACCACTTCTTGACCTGACATCTACACTAGAATCTTCATTGTATCGTTTGATGGTACGATAAACGAATCTTTATAAGAGATGAAGATATATAAGATAAGAATTAGATAAATTTGAATTGGCGCGTAACCGCAACGATGCAACGCAATAACTGCCACAAGGTCTTCTTTAGGCGTCCACTCCATATTTAAAAATGAGTAAAATTCTAAAAAGTATACATTTTTATTTTCATGAACAATTCGAAATTGAAATTCAATAAACTTTTTTGTGGCCAGCCGCCAGCATTCTAAAAGAAAAGTTTTTACTGTGTGACACTACTTATGACTTGAATAGGACCTGTCTCAAATAAAATTATTTTTCTTTCTTTCTTCTATACTGGACCGGACCAACATATCCGAGGCACTCGCAAATTGAAGGCTCCCTTATGATTTCGCCGTCCCCAAACCCGGTGACGCTGTAAAGGCATCAGCATCTTCCAAAAGTTTAACATCACCAAGCACGGTGGAAGATCCGCCCTTTGGCTTTTCTACTGATAGAATGATGGTTAACCAGGATTAAGCCTTGAAAGTAGCAGGTCTGAGAGATGTGCTTCCCCACGCAGTTTATACGCCAAACTTACCACCGAAACCTACTGTTTTAATGATGAAGGATCCAACTAAAAGCACTAATTGAATACACAGAAAAAGCAATCATCTTTTGATTCGATTGAGCTTGATTGTGGACCCACTTACCACCACATAGGGCAAAGTGGCCCATGGCCCGGGGCGGCAGAAGTCATATAAAGGCATTCGTTACTGAGCTATATTTTGATTTACTATATCTAGGATTCGGACCAATGGTACTTAAACTTTCTGCCTTGCCGATTTGTATTATTAAAAATGTGCTTATTGTAAGTATTATTAAGTCTATTTATTTAAATTATATATATTGCAACTAGTGGCCCGCCCTCGCTTCGCTTCGGTGTAGAGCTGAAGCGTAGACTACAGTTTTTGTTCTCAGGCTTGTATTATACACAATGACATTCATCTATGATTCTTCTTATACCTGCATGCAAAGTCTCAGCCCGATCGGTTTAAAATTGACAAAGTTTCATACAAACTTTCATTCCCTATTTTATCCCCTTGGGGGTAGAATTGATCAAAATTCTTTCTTAGCTACCTACCTACTTCATAACATCTACCTGCATGCCAAATTTCAGCCCGATCTGTCCAGTGGTTTGGGCTGTGCGTTGATAGATCACTATGTCAGTCAGTCACCTTTGAGTTTTATATATATAGATATGAACCTTACCTTGTGCGTAATCCTTCTGCGAGACGTGTTTCTCTGTTTTACCGACATAGTCGTGGCCAACCGCTGATTTGTCCATACGATCAGCTTGCACGCCGAACTTGCCTCCATAACTGAAATACATATAATTTTAAGACAATCTTATCTTATGATTAAGTTTAGAAACACGTCCATTCAGGAATTTAGGAATATTCACTAAGGCGATGGAAATAAGTTAAGGCTTTTTTATTAAAACTGACCAATCAACATCGGACTGAGCTGTGGTTATATAAAAGTAAAAAAAAATCATCTCTTCTTTTCTATTAATTCATATTAAAAAGCTGAAGAATTTGTTTTATTATTTGTTTGTTTGGTTCAACACGCTCATCTCAGGATCTACGGGTTCGATAAGAAAAAAAATGTGCTATATGTAACATCACGTTATGACCAGTAGGAAGAAGCTTCGATGAAAAATGTTTCAATAACGGAAAAAAATATTCAATTTGAGAGCTTCCCTGGCGTGTGCTACACAAACGGCTAAAGTAACAGGAAAATCATGTATGGCGGAATTGTTTCCCTTTAAAAGTTCTATAAAAAAGTTGGCGTCAGCATATGTCAATCTTTTAAATTTGACTCACTATAACCTTTTTCCTTATTAACGCAGGTGAAACCGCAGAGGACCTCTAGTAAGTGATATAACAATAAATCTAGTAAGTGATATAAATTATTAAGATTCAGCCATTTTTGCGTGATTGATTTACAAACATCTTCAGATAGGAACTTTCATATCTATACTTATTACATACTAGATGTACCCCGCAGTGTTACCCGCGGCTTATTAAGGATATTTTCCGCAGTAAAACGTAGCCTATGCGTTAATCCAGGGTGTCAGCTAACTCCATACCAAATTTTATTAAAATCGCTCCAGCCGTTTAGACGTGAAGAAGTAACAAACATACACACTCACACACTCACAAACTTTCGCCTTTATAATATTAGTGTGATATACTTACTTATAATATTATAAAGAGGAAAGATTTGTATATAAGTATGTTTGTAAAGAATTGGATCAAATAGTACTGGACCGATTTTAAAATTTATTTCACTATTTGAATGCTACATTATCACTGATTAATATAGGATATAGTGTATTTTCAAAAAAGTTAGGGCTCCGTATGAAAACTTCGATAATGTAACCCAACGTGTGTAAAAAATACCAAAAAATTTCCTTATATCGCGTACGCTGCGGAAGTCTTGACAAAAGAGCAAAGTGATGTACTAAAGTTTTATAGAGGCTACCAACATCTACAAAAAAGTCCACGATACCATATGTCTAACTATTACAGTTATGTCACAACAAGAGGTCCCCTGCGGTTTCACCCGCGTTAAATTGAAGAAAAAAGGTTTATAGTGAGTCTAACTTAAAATATGGGCATAGGCTGTCGTGGACTTTTTTACAGAACTTTTAAAGGGTAGGAATTCCGTCATACATGATTTTTGTGTAACTTTAACCGTTTACCGTAACGGAATCTCACAAATGGATAATATTTACCCGTTTTTGCAAAATGATCCATTTGTGAAATTCCGTTACGTGTACTAAACTATAGGCCCTATAGCATTTCTCGATAAATGCACTGTCCAATACAAAAATATTTTTTTTAATCAGAACAGCAGAGCAATGTTACATTCGGTACAACGGGTCCTAAACTGCGCAACGAAATTTTTACTTCGAATGGAAGGTTTATAATTATTATGAAGAAAGTCATTGTGTAGAGTACAAGCCCTTGAACAAAAACTATAGTCTACACTACAGCTCTACACTACACCGAAGCAAAGCGAGGGCGGGCCACTAGTCTCTTATATTTGGATTTACTTACCCATATGACGACTTCGGTCCTTTCTCGTATTGCTTCTGTTTTTCTTCTTTGTCAGCTTCAAATACCTCCTCTCTCAACTTCGCCATACTGTGATAAAAGCAGAGGTGAATAACATTAGCATATATTTATGTATATTCATCCCACTTATCAGCCATAAATAGAATGAGATAGTGACCAATTTCCTGATTTACTTTCAATGCAATCTAATAAATATAATATCATTTAGTTTCTCTCACAGTTTCATTTTAATTACAATAGGCTTAGACAAGTGTAAAAATATATTTCTTTGACCAGTCTGTGATGCTAGTTATAGACTCACAGAAGCGAAATATTTTCGAAAACCACCAAGTTTACCTGCATGATAGAATCAGAAATGGGGAAATCATCAAATGAGGTATTTTTTTAAGTATAAAAAAATATAGGAACTAGCCTCCGGCCGCGACTTCATACACGTTATCTTTAGTTTTTTGAGAATCCCACAGGTATCAAAAAAATTTCCGGGAAAAACAATATAGGATATATTGAATGGTATTGTTTTTTATTATTTATATTCCTAAATAATTTTACGACTATGTATTTCTGTTTTTTTTTATTCTTTATATTTTTGTTGCGATAGTCAGTAGTCAAAGGAGCCATAGGCTCGGTAATAATATATAATATTACCGTGCCATAGGTGTCAATTGAAAACCAGCGTCAGGTCCCACAAACCTGACAGCATGCTGAATTGACAATCTGTTTTGGCGCAACCCAAGCGCAACCGCGAGACAGCAACAGATTAATTCAGTGGTGGTTACGTTCGCTATTATTATTATACGAGGAGCTCGATGGGTGGTTAGCGCGTTCGGCTGCGATCGTTAAAGTTAAGCAATTTTCGCAGTGGTCGGTCATTCGATAGGCGATCAAAAATCTTCTCATCTCGAGTTCCTCCGTGCTTCGGAAGGCACGTTAAGCCGTTGGTCCCGGCTGCATCTGCAGTCGTTAGCACCCGCCAATCCGCGCTGGGCCCGCGTGGCAGGTCATGGCCCAATCTCCTTATTCCATCCATAGGGAAGGCCGTGCCCCAGCAGTGGGGATGATGATGGATGATGGCTACGTACGGTATGGTAAAATTGTGTGTGTTACTTTTTTGCTATTGTGTTGTTTTCCTATTGTTTCCGTGGTTGTATTTTTTGTCGTTTGCTGTTCAAAATCTTTTATCTTCTGTCACGTCTTTGTGTCAAAATAAATGAATTTTCTTTCTTTTATCCAATGTCTCAATCTAGGTAATAAACTACATGACCACACCCGCACTCCCAGCCCGCATCGGGGAGACCCCGGTCCTCACAAATTCGTGTCGGGTGACAGGAGTATTATCCAGTTTAACTGGGGTATTCAGGGCATTAGGTAGGACCTTGCTCATTTCATTGAGCCCAGTGCTGGATGAAAGGGGAAGGGAGGAGTCCCAGGTACCTTCATCTTTGCATCCGGACATAAAAATAAATCATAAACTATGTAGATACCAAATTTCGTCCAAATCTGTTCAATACTTTTTTGCGTGTTTAAGGAACAAACTAAAAGTTTGTATACTTTAACATTTTATAAAATCAGTAAAATAATCTCATTTCAATTTTTTTTTTAGTATAACCTAATATTTACCCAATCATTTACGAATGCAGCAAGCAGTGAAAGTTAAAACGAAGCTAATTAATTCGAGTTTTTGTTAAGCTAAGTTCACGTCACCACGTGGTGGGATCGTTCACATGAAAACAGACATGCGAGGCAATTAAATCCTCCACTTTTATTTCCAATGATTTTAAATGAGTCTTAGTGTGACTAATCAACGGTTTTCAATCAGCTGCTGAAAAAACGCATTCGTGTTGGGTCGTATAATATATATGTGTATATGTCGTAAGTATATAATACATATGTAAATAGTTCTTTTTTTGGTCATCTTTTTCACTAGATTGCATTTGTACTTTTGCTTTTAACTTGAACTGACACTATAATTCACGAATTTCTTTCAGCAACAGCAATCCCAAACGGAAGTTGTCAATGAAATCTAAGGGCATGTGCTGCGTTAAGCGGGAAAACGTAGCGGTCGTCCGCTCCGCGTGTTTTTTTCATGTCACTCGTACTTCGTACACATTGGGTAAAAAACGGGGCGCCTAATAGATCGCACTCACTAATGAGTCACTTCAACAAATCAATTAGCAACCTGAGTCTTATAGAGATCCAATTCACTTACTCAATAGCCTCCACATTGCGGCCGCCCGGCCCCCAGCGCTGCTCGTGTTCAGTCACGTCATTGATGAAGTCAGGGTCTGTCTCCCAATCATCGGCCTCCGGTAGCGCCGGCGCCGCGACGTCTGTTGCCGCTTTCCACATCTGTAGGAAAAATACAATACACCATTGAGAGGGAGCGCAAAGCGCTGGGGGTGCGCTGTAATATGCTGGCTCGTAGGTTTGCATGCTGTAGTACTCCAGTAAAATTAACACTTTTTAGAGTGTGGCGGCGACATCTATATGCCCCACATATATACAACGGATGGAGGAAATCATTACTCACCATCCTCAAGAGATGGCGTTACCTGCACTGCGATCAATATTAGTATGGAAGCCTACATCGCGCAAATGAAATTCGAAGGCTAACTCTTCATATATGCGATGCCCGACCAACATCAGTTGGGCCGCGGCCCCCGAGCTACCACCACCCAGGTCGGAGGAAGATCTTCCCCTTTGGCCTTCCTACAAGAGCTTACTGTCAAGTGTTCTACATGTGCAGCCTTTGGACCAACCATACGCAGCGGGCCCTCGGTGCGCTGCGTATTCAATATAATAAGGTCTAGTACCCGTTGGACCCTCAAGATTTGACCCAAGAGCAAAAAGTGCCCATTGGACCTCTTTATTGGTGTCCATTGGACCTTCTCAAAAAGTCTTATATTCAATGTGCCCATTGGATCTCTTTTTTGGTGCCCATTGGACCTTCTTAAATCTTTTATATTCAATGTGCCCATTGGACCTCTTTTTTGGTGCCCATTGGACTTTCAAGATTATACCCTACTGCCAGTTGAACCTTATTGACAGTTTTGTTAAGCACAGTACAGTCATGTATAAAATTGCAGACAAATGCTCTCAGAGTGTTGTTGGGGCTGTCCCGTTTCGGCAGTGCATCAGGCATGTTTACGCAGATGCATATTGATGATTTTTATGCCATCATGCGGAAGAGAGCCGCTTCGTTGCTTTGCATAGTGCAGGCCAGCTCCAACTCCATTCTGCAAGTTATAGGGGGTCGATATGATTCCCCTATAATAGCTTATTGTATCCATAAGTGTATAACGGGCACAAGTTTAGTATGTAAGTAATTGAATTTCTATACTAACACTAGATAATAAGTAATCATGTAACTCAGTGGTTCTCAAACTTTTTAAATGACGGAACCCTTTTGGGAAGCAAAATACTTGATGGAACCCTACAATAAAACAATTATTTTTATAAGTGTATTCTATATTAATCAGCATAATAAAAGTACAATGTATCCGTTACTAATTATTATTTACTTCACCACTTGGTAAGGACAATAATAGAAAACATTAAAAAAGAAAAAATCTAACTAGTGGGAGGTATGAAACTGTTTTTTATTTTTCATCAATTGCTTGATATCAGGTTTGATGGAAGAAAGTTGGAGTCTCATATCAGCTTCGGCGTCCAGTCTATTGCGATATTTTGTTTTCGTGGCTGCGTAGGTAGAGAATCCTGTTTCGCACAAATATGTAGTTGGGAACGGGAGAAGAATATCCAGAGCCATTTGGCCAAGCATTGCATATTCATCTTGGATTCTGCACCAAAAATCATTAAGAGGCGTCGTTTTGAACAATGACTCCATACTTGTGTCTGATGACATTTCTAAAAGAGATTCATATATCTCATTTGACATGTTTTCAGGCTTTTCCAAGTTGGGTAAAAAAGGATTATGAATCCAGGAGTTCACTTTAATTTTTGTATTGTGTTCTTCGGGAAAATACTTTTCAAAAGATGCGCGCATCGAACTGAGATATTGGACCAATTCTTCAAACACATTATCTTCAAACATTTCTGAGTCGTTTTCGCTAACAAACTCAGTGAGTAACGTAAAACTTTCTATTTCTTTCTTTCCAATGCAAATGATCCAAAAATCTAATTTTCTTTTAAAAGTAGTTATTTTATTATAGGCCTGAAACACTGTTGTCTGTTTACCTTGCAATGATAAATTTAATTCGTTAAGTTTTTGAAAGATATCCGCCATAAAAGACAATCGGAACAACCAAGTTTTATCATACAAACGGTCCTTCAAATTAAAAGAAGTATCTGCTGAAAGAAACATTTGTAACTCGGCTCTAAGTTCAAATAGCCTTGTTAAAGTTTTTCCCCGAGACAGCCATCGCACTTCTGTATGGAGCAGCAGTGTTTTATGTTTGCTGCCATAATCTTCACACAATAATGAGAACAATCGGGATTGTAGTGGTCGTGATTTGATAAAATTAATTATTTTTACCGCTTCATCCATAACTAATTTTAGATTAGACGGCATTTGCTTCATCGCAAGTGCTTGTCTATGCAGAATACAATGACTGGAACTACAATTAGGCGCTTTATTTTTCATTCGTGACACTGCTCCTGCTGTTTTACCTGTCATCGCCTTGGCCCCATCTGTACAAATGTCAATGCAATTGTTCCAACTGAGATTATGTTCTTCAAAAAATATATTTATTTTATTAAAAATTTCTTCCCCGGTAGTGTTTGTAAGCAGCGATGAACACATAAGCATGTCTTCTTCAAAAGAACTTTTATATGGATATCTCACAATAACCAGCAGGATAGCCAAACCAGCGACATCAGTCGACTCGTCCATTTGCAAAGCGAATCGTGTATTTTGTAGACGTGTAACTAGTTCTTGTTTGACGTAGCTTGCCAGATCATGGATTCGTCGTGAAACAGTATCGTTTGATAGCGGAACAGTAGAAAGATGCTTTGCAGATTTTTCATCAAGCATACATTTTGTTATGTCTAATACACATGGTTTTATTAATTTCTCAGCGATAGTGTGCGCTTCACCTGCTTGTGCAATGCGATAGCTAACTAAGTATGATGCCTCCGTGGCCTTTTCGTTGGTAGTTTGTGTTACATGCATCATATTTTTTTGACTTTCTAATAACTGATCTTTTTTGCGAACAAAAAATTCTTTATTCTTGTCTTTAGTCTCGGGGTGTACGGTTTCTAAATGTCGACGCAATTTGGCAGGTGCCATGGAACTATTAGGAAGCAGTTTACTACAGAGCATGCAGAGAGGTGAGCCGTTGGAATCAACAAATCCGAAACTGATATAAGATTCATCATACTTCCTTTTTTTCGTCTTTGAAACCGTCGAGCTTGACGTCGTGGCACTCGTGGCATCATCTTCTGGATCGGTGATTGCTAAATTCTCCGCGCGCATTGCTTTTGAACATTCAGCGTCATTAGAAGATGTTGTTGGAACACGTTTAACACCTTTAAGCCAACGTTCCATTCTTCTTTATTTATAATGTTACAAGTCAGGATAGTGGGGTTTAAATAATGCACAATCGTTACTGCGTATAAGAGACTAAATTTAGAACCTACAGGGAAGAAATGTATAAAACTGAGACAACAGAATACAGCAGGCAGTAAAACAATGAACACCAGTTTCTCGCTAGCGAGCTTGTAAGTAGGTAGTAACTTATCGCTCCGAACGCTAATCATCAACTGACGACGCCAACGCGCGATCGCCGCTTTTATACTTAGTCCTAGACTCGATCTCAAATATTCTCGAAAATACTCGAGTCGGCACCTTTGATAAACAAAAAGCAAAAATAAAAACAGAAATTTAAAAATAGCGTTGTAAACAATATCGACTTTATCCTTTGAAGTTAGAGACGAAAGTCGCTAGTTGACAACTATAGCGTCTAATTCAGAGGCGGCTTTTATCAAAGAGACTGAGCGCTTACAAGTATACTACCCGCTCGTTTTAAGTTTGCCGCTGGCGATAGGTATGAGTGTATGACGTTCGAAATTTTTTATTTAATTGTAACAATAAAAATTGTGTACGTTAGATATTTGGGTAAAACTATGACACATTATAAGTTTTGTTGTCACGTGGGGGAGGGTACGCGCATTCCACAGACCGGCAAACTTAGAGCGAACGCGTTGTACAAGTATAAAATTGTTGAGACCAAACTTATGAGATATTGTACCAGCTAATGTAACACAAGCTTATACAAATACAAATAAATAAATAACATTCATAGCGTTTTGTCTCCGCGCGGCCGCGGAGTCCGCACAGCCGCGGAGCGACCAGAGAGAGGTGTTTTGATTTTTTTATTTCTAAATTCTTGCGGAACCCCGACAGAGGTATCACGGAACCCTAGGGTTCCGCGGAACACACTTAGAGTATAGCTGATGTAACTAACCATAATATGGATGTATCCTAGTCCGAAATAAATGTTTATCTATACTTATAATAAATCTGTAGAGAGATCAATTCTGTACATGAAATATATTTTTAAAATAACTATCAGGGGGTGATTAGTGATCGATACTGATGCCAAAAATCTGTAAAATTTTTGTCTGTCTGTCTGTCTGTGTGTATGTTCCTTATAGAAACAAAAACTACTCGACGGATTTTAACGAAACTTGGTACAATTATTCTTCATACTCCTGGGCAAGTTATAGTATACTTTTCATCATGCTACAATCAATAGCAGCAGAGTAGTGAAGGGAAATGTTGGGAAAACGGGAGAAGTTACTCCATTTTTTAAGCTTCCGTCGCGGGTGCAGCCTTAATGGTTAAAGTTACAAAGAAATCATGTATGATGGAAATATTCTACATAAAATTGTGTAAAAAATATCACGCAACAGCATATGTCTATCTTTTATGGTTGACTCACAATAACACGTGTAACTCCTGATAGCTTAGTAGTTCGGAGTATTCTGATTATATTTGTTTACTCTTACGTTTATAATACTCTCACTCATCCCTAATTTAAAAAAGTTAACATCCGTTAACGTTATATTCTATTATTACCTATTCAATAAAAAAAGAATCATAGAAATCGGTATAGAAACACTAAACTTATACATGAAATAAGCCATCGCGCCGCCGCACGTGAATACGAATCATGCTATAAGGATTATTTTTGTGTAACGGTTGCCGCGCTCGACACGGGTCGCGGCGGCGGTAGGTATAAGAAGAATGTCATTGTGTATAATACAGGCCTGAGAACAATAACTATAGTCTACACTTCAGCTCTACACCGAAGCGAAGCGAGGGCGGGCCACTAGTTATTAATAATATTACAATGGAACCACGGAATAAAACCCTAGTCACCAGCAGAAACACAACACCGCCAAAAGGTAGTGTTATTTTACTGTGTCTTCTGTTGGGTGGGGGGGGGGGGTTTGCTTCCCCAGACGGGCGCTCCAATCCAGCGGAAAATCCGCTGCGCCTTACCTCCGTTATATATGCTCATAGGGGGAAAAATGTAGTAATCAAAAGTTTACAAACGTAAAATAAGATTAATAGGGTATTTGACAAGTTTTAGAAAACGATCTTACGTTATTGACTAATGTTTACAGAGTCCGTAAAAGTGGATAATCATCATTCTGTTGCGTATTTCAATAAAAATAACCAAATCAAAAACTCCATTTTCAAGTTGCCGCGAAAACGTTTCTCTGGACAATATGGCGTCTTACTAGTTTGTGACGTCACACGACTGTTATTAAAACGTCAAACGATACAATGTAATGTCACTTTAACTGGAAGTTTACTTGCGTGTGACGTCATTTAAGACTCCGCCAATCCCAAGCGTTTTGGGTCACGTGACAATAGAAAAGAAAACTATTATCTTTTCCGTGGGTTTTTAGTAAAATTATTAATATTATTTTTGTAAAAATAGTAAAAACCCCTGCCAATATTCATTCTAAACACAGATGCTAACAATTGGCACTTTATTTTTAATACTGTCAAATACCCTATTAGATACAAAAAAGAACTTGTAATCATCAATGAGACAAAATAGTATGAACAACCTCTAAGTCATAACATCAAATTGTTTTCAATTAACACCTAATCACATAGCATTGTTTCGCCACGTGACTCATCCATAATATTGACTCAGGAGATTCATAAACATTGAAAAGGCAAAGCTTAACTTTCAGCGAGAAACTAGGGTTTCTAACTACTCTATCCTACTTGATGTTAAGTAATAGAGAAGTCAAATTTCAATGTGAAAAACAAAACAACAGGATAACATCCACACGGACCAGGCAGCAGCCGGGACTCCCCCAACATCCGCAATCCTGGCGAATGCACTGACAAATTATGCAACCGGGATCCCGATGGCCGTGTAAAATTTTCTCAAGTATTTCTTAGGCTGCAAGGCAGCGCCATCTCTTCACATTGTTGGTAACCCACAATTGGCAAATGAAATACCTTTACAAAATTCTTAACATTTTAAGGAAGAAATACCTGGCAATTGTAGTTTATTAAATTTTTATTGTAGTTTACTGAGCCACTTAATACTAACAAATGTATACCTGACGATCTTTACTCACTGCAGGATTATGAACCATTAACTCGTAGAATCTCCTTGGTACAGTGGTCAGCATGTTCAGACAGCAACCATAGAAGTTAAACAAATTTAACAATAAGAAAGCAATGGACATCCATAGGATTTATTTTTACATATAGCCCAAAAAAGATGTTGCTATACAGGATGCATACTACTATATAAATAACAAAATGGATACCTTGGACCTTAGTGGTCACAAAGGTATCCATCCACCTTTGTGACCTTTTCTAAACCGAATCAAAAAGCGATCTAATCTCCAATAATACTTTTTGGTTGGGAAGTACTTTCTTTGGAAATCATTTCGTTCATTTTTAGTCTATGCTATGCTAAAATGTTTGTGTATGCTACATCATAGTATTACTTCTATGCTTTAGTTCATCTGAGATCTTAACGTTCAGTCTTTTATTTATTTTATATCCCGTCAACTTTGTAAGCAAAATGGCTCACAAAACCCTGTCTGTGTTAGCCCTCCATTTTGTTTTCCATGGCCGGAAGAAAACATTGCTGATTTTCCTGTTATTATTCGAATTCTACTTTACATCCAGGCTTCATTTATGTCTTAAATAAATCCTGAATAGTTTCTCTACATAACTGCATTACATGTGTAAATAAAAAACCATTAATAAATATAATAAAACACAAAATATGAAAAATTTAAATATGAAAATAATTTTTTCAGCTCATGGCAGTAATCTGCCATCTACACAGACAGGGGTTTTTTGACGTTGGCAGAAATCTGCCATTTAAACAGACCAGGGGATATTATCTTGTGTGTGTGTGTGTTATAAAGAAGAAATGATGAATAGTCAGGTTCATGGGCGTAGCCAGGTATGGGCAGAGGGGGGCAGCTGCCCCCCCCTAGATCAAGGAGCTTCAGAACCAAAAAATAAATAATAAATAATCAAAAAACTAAATATAAATTTTAAAAAAATTATAGAATCGCACATCAACCTCATTAGTCTCGTTACTAAAGCTTTAATTTCGATAGGACTACTCGTAAACAGTGAAGTGATTTCGTACGTACCTACGTTAAGCATTTCTTGGACGTAAAATAAGGATTATTAAATTAACTATATAGCCATTTTTGGTTAGATCATTGGTAAGATCGTAATATTTATTTAATTTTATTGTGAGGTATTTTGGAATGTTAGTACGATACAGTAAGCTCTATTAGTACTTTACTTATGTTTGATGTGCCTAAAAAAGGGGAATACGTCCGGCCTGGATGACGAAACACCAACACCATCTGGTACATTGTAGTGATTTTCATACGTATCTTTTAAAATAGTCTAGTCAGGTTCAGTATCTAGGATTGAAAAAGGCTTGCTTTTCGAGTTAACAGTTGAGCCTTCCTTTATAAAGTTAATTTGTTTTTTATTTGTGGTTAATCCTTTTTGGTCAAAAAAGCATTGTATTTTCTTTGTGTAAGTTACAAAACAAACTTTGCGGTTAATGATTTTAATAATGTTCCAGAAATAAGAGACACGATTAGCACAATAAAAGATGTCATCAATTTTTTCGTGAATCTTCTCTACGGAGAAAGTACGTGCCAAATATTCCAGCTCTTTGTGAGACACGCTGGTCACAAAAAAACAAAAGTATTGCTATATTTAACGATCATTTTGAGGGCATTCTCAATGGGTTTTTGGCAATTTCTAGAGAAGGTAATGCTGCAGCGAGAAGAAATGCTTACCACTTATATTGTGCTGCTACCAAGTAAGAATTTATTATATCTGCTGGTTTGATAGGAAAATACTCAGGAATATTGGAACCTGTTGCCAATGCCCTATATTCAAAGACAATAGACATGTAGATATGAAAGAAGCATCTCAGTAACGCGGACCAGGAATTCCAATATGTCTTCGACACTTCTACGGAAACTGCAGCTGTCATTGGAACCGATTTACATATCCCGCGCATTGCATTTGGCCAACGATATCAGTCCAATCATCCTGCTGAGACTCCATGCGATTTTTGGAAGCGATCGATCTTCATTCCGTATTTAGATTCCCTTATATCCGCACTGGAACATCGTTTCTTTGATTAACATATGTTTATCAAAGAAACGATGTTCCAGTGCGGATATGTTCCAGTAGGCATATGCCTGCCTTCGGATTGATGATGCTGCATCCTGATGCGATGTTACAAATTTCATTGGCTGAATTCAAACAGAAAACACAAAGTTTCAGCAGATACTATGGGTTAGAATCCTTTGATAATAAAGCTGAACTGTGATATAAACGATGGAAAGATGAGGTATGCCAAGAGAACACCTTAGAGAGCTGAACTTTGCAGAGTTGTTAGAGAAGGCGGAAACATTCTTTCCTTCAACCAGAAAACCTATACTAATTTCTTTGGCACTGTCTTGCACCACGAGCAATGTAGAGAGGTACTTCTCTACACTGCGGTGTAGTCAAAACGTGGTTGTGGTCGACGATGCTTGATCTTGATCTCTTAACATACATAGGACACATGAATGGCCTGTGTATGTTAAGTGTCCAGCGAAAGATGGTACAAGAAAATTTACATGCAATTTCAGGTGAAGTCTTGAAACGGTTCTGCGAAGAACCGAGAAAATTGCTCTTGTTTATTGTATAAAATTTAATTTTTGTAGCGAACATATTAATTTCGCTTGCCTGCCCCCCCCTAAACTAAATCCTGGCTACGCCCTTGGTCAGGTTTAAAGTCCAGGACCTTTTTAGATTAGAACAATAGGCAGGAATATATCAGTTGTATTGCATAGCTGAGTTGATTTCCTCAAAACTTTGTTTCCTCATGATACAAACAAGGAAAGAACAACTGTTTGCTAATAGTATAATCAGTCAGTCACAAGCTACCACTTTCATTACTTTTTTTATAAGCAAAAAAAAATTAATTTAGCATAATATGACCCACCTGATGGTCAGCCTCTATATTCTATAGATTAGGGATGGGCAAACTTTTTCTCATTGTACCAATATTTCGTGCTGTTAATAAATTTACTTTTTCAGTTCTCATTTAATGTCAATTTTTAAGCAGCACAGAAATGGTGTATAGTTGATTAATTTTGCTTTTCCACTATCGATATAGATAATAAAGATCACTCGCACATTGCCCTTAAATGGGTGATTTAAGGGCAAACCAGTGGACCCCAAAAAGGTTACTCAATGATAGAAACAACACCATCAAAAGTATGTAGTAGTACTTCATTGTGGTCTGCTACAAGGAACTTCTCTAGATGGGCATACCAAATCATGTTACTTAAGCTTTAAAGGAAATTTAGTTTACATTATAAGACTGATTATGTATGGTTTACCCTTATACATTCCACTGTGAAATGGTTGTTGATATATGAATTTCTGAAAATAAACAATACCTAACCTAGACATATATGAAAATTATATGATTTGCTTTGAAAAAAACAATTTTGTAATAACAAATGAACTCTCAAGAAAGCAAAAAGCATCATTACACTATATTTCCAAATACTTTGTTTTATCAAATATTCAATGATTACAAAGATTAAAATTGTAAGTTAATAAGTACCAATTTTTCTTACTTATCTCGACGTGTGAAAGATAGCACTGGTACAAATTCACTAAAACTCATTTCTCACCAAACTATCAACCTTTAATTGATATACTTACATGACAAATGTATTTATAACATTGGTAATAACGAAGAGTTTATATGAGATTAATTAGTTAAATATTTTCATTTAACTTAATATATAAATAAAATACGAATTTAATGCACGCACCTTGGTCGGCCGAAGTTTATTTACACGTATACACTTTAATAATATAGTCAGTAATTTACACTAAAACATTCACGCACAAAAGCGTGTTTATTGAAGGAAGATTAATTTGAAATACAATTAATATTCACAAGAGAAACAAACAAAAATTCACAAAAAACAGCAGTAAATGAAGCAGTTATTGGACCACCTCGATGCGTCATCCGTATGACATTGACAGAACTAGGGAAGTTTTCAACGGTATTTATCAAATAAACGGTAATATCTCTATAAGCCTCCTGCTCATATAAACGTTATTAACGGTTGTTAGAATACGTTACTGGGATATATCGTCAGAGGTACGGGTCAATTCTTGCACGTTTCTCTAAAACTAAACTTTAAATTGACAACAGTGTATCCTTTTCATTCTCTATACAGAAGGAAAAAGAGAGACTGATATAATTTTTATTTTTTAAACATGTAACTGCTCGATATTTAAATCTAAAGAAAATATAACTAAAAAAAGTTCCACGCGGACCATGCAGCAGACAGGACTCAAACCCGCACCCTTCGCTATTCAGACGAATGCACTGACCGTTATGCTACCTACAATGCGACGAGATGGCGCTGCCTTGCAGCTTAAGAAAAGCTATTAATTATAAAAAATGGGTGCGTGTACTTATGTAGGCGCGTGAGAAGTTATCCTTCTTTGGCATCGTTTAAAATTAGTTTTTAATTGCATGCAAATAATTAATTACAATAAATTAATAAAAAGTCTGGAAAAGGACACAGTCAATAAAGTTCAGTTTTAATTTGAAAAAATAAATAAATAATCAAAATATTCAATTAAAATCGCTACTGAATATAATTTATTAGAACATATGTGATTTGCACTTGTATGAAACTCAAACACGTATTCCGAATATACAAACTAGAAACATGTGGATAAATATTATAAATATGAATACCTTTAACTGTTACTTTATTACAAAAAATAAAGATGTGGTTTTTGGTTCTACTACACCAATGGTCAAGAGATGGCGCTGTAGTCTCCTGAATCGCGCTTTGGTTCCGTTGTTCCAGATTAATAAATACTTTTGATAGGCCTTCACAATGCAGTCGTTAGCACCCAATAGAGATTCTATTTCTATTTTGTTGGTAGATTTTCTTAATGTGCGGTAAACACAAAAGTCGCTTTAGCGACCAACTTCATGCTGTTAAAATTTTGTTTTACAGTGATGCGCGCGCATCTTAAAATTTCACTCTCATCATTTTTTCATAACGCGCCTAAAGAAGTATAACTTCAAAAAATATATAGAAACAATTCGACACGGCCATTAGGGCCGCGGTAGCATAATGTATGCAAAATATCCGGTAGCATAATGTATAGCAAAGTGCATTCGCCTGGGGTGCGGGTAGGAGAGACTGATGTCAGTCATCAGATGTCATGCGGAAATTGAAAGATCTATTGATTTTTTATCACAAAAATACGATGATCTGAATATAAAATTAAATGATTATCAAACTAAATCAAAGGAGTTTGACGAGCGTCTGTCAAAAATTGAATACAATTTAGATGATATTGACAGAACCACTCGTTTAAGTACCCTGGAAATCAGAAACTTATCATTAAAACAACGAATGACCCAGGAGGAACTCATTGACATAACATCCCGTGTGTTTAAAGAACTTTCTGTGGAGATAGTGCACTCGGACTTATATGATATTCGGGTACTACCTTCTAAATCGGAAAATAAAACCATATTGGTTACTCTTAATTCGATAATCAAGAAAAATTACATTTTAAAAGCTTACAAGGAGTATAATCGTCAGTCAAACAGTAAACTAAACACAACAATACTGATGGAGGATCCGCCCCGGAAAATCTACATTGCCGAACATTTGACATCTCGAACACGCAAACTTTTTCATGCAGCTAGAGAATTTGCTAAAGCAGAAAGTTTCAAGCACTGTTGGACAGCTTACGGGAGGGTTCTCTTGAGAAAGGAAGACAACGCCAAGCTTATTGTTGTTTCATCCGAATTACAACTTCTGGAGATCAAGTCAAAAAACTAAATTACATTTCAACGCATTTAATTAGTGCATTGTTATCTATAATAACGTTTTTTTCTTATTTTTTTCTTTATTATACTTATATTAAAATGAATTATACTACAAAATGCCACAATATCTACATTATGTATCTACATAACAGAAATAATATGGAATATAATATAGTAAATCTGTACCTTGTACTCTGTTACCCGTTATACCAAATGTTTTGCATGCTTCTATTTGTATTTTTAATGCATAAATTCATGCATAAATCATGCTATGGATCAAATAACAAATTCTACTTTATACTCACTTTGCCTTGTCATGCTTTTTCTGTCCACAATGACGTAATGACTGTTTTTCGAACACAGTTCTACCTTTATGTAATAAGAATATTGTGTGAAATAGGACATTATTTATGCGCCCTGCTATGTCTCCTTGATGTACTAGTGACCATTTACATTAAAATTCAACTGTGATACAGACCTTATTAATAAAATTGATAGCGTATCTGTTAGCTCCTCGCATGATTGTGATCCTCATGAAGTACACTCGATTATGTCAAAAAATTGTAACTCGATCAAGATACTGACACAAAATGTACGAAGCATATCCGCTAACTTAACTAGTTTTACCACTCTACTGCATCGCATAAAAGTCGAAATTGACATATTAATACTCACAGAGTGTTGGTTGCAAAAGACACCTGTAATTCCTAGCCTACCCGGATATAATTCATACGCATCCACCAACCCTCTGAATCAAAACGACGGAGTAATTAATTGTTTACATTAGTAACAAATTACCTGGAATCAGCATCACTGAACCCAGCATCTCAGAGGCAAGCTGTTTACTCTTAAAAATAAACAAAGATACTATTTTGTTAGCCGTCTATCGTCCTTGTGGTTTTCGAAATCCTCAGAACTTTATAACATCTCTTAACAATATTTTGGCTCCACTAAATAATTATAGGAATGTGATATTGATGGGTGACATAAATATTAACACAAACTCCACCTTCTTAGATCCAAACGCTGACGAATATTTAAATACTTTGGCACATCACGGTCTTTTACCAGCTCATTATTTACCTACTCGTAACCAAGCATGTCTTGATCATGTCATCATGAAGAGCACCCACCCTGCACAAACCCTCGTTATTCATTCTTCTGTTACTGACCATGAAGCTGTGTTGCTTGCCATTCATATGGCCAGACAAGCTACTCCTCCTACTAAGACAAAAATAATAAATTATCAGTCTCTTACGAAATGGATGGAGGCCATTGATTTTACCCCTATACTCAAGATTACAGACCCCAATTTGGCTACTAACTCATTCATCGATATGTTGCAAACTGCCATCCTAGAAAATTCTGCTTTTCAGTCTTTCTCAAGGCGACGCAAACTTATTAAACCTTGGATAACCCCTGGTCTTTTAAGGTGCGTTAGAAACAGGGACAGCTTGCACAAAAAACTTAAAAATAGTCCACAAAACGATGCATTGAGGGTTACTTACGTTCGATATCGTAACTACTGTAATACTTTATTAAAAAAAGTCAAAAGAGAATATGACAGAGATCGTATAGATAAAGCAGGCAAGAATTCTAAAATGTTGTGGAATGCGATTAAAGAAATAACAGATATGAACAAAACGAAATCTCCTGCAACTGACCTTTTAAGTATTAAGCCCACCCCAAAAGAATCAGTGGATACAGTTAATTCTTTCTTCGTGAGCATTGGAAAGACGCTTGCTGAGAACCTTACTCCGACAGCGCCCACTTATTCCAAAGTACTAACACACAAATCCCCTAGACGAGATTCCCTTGTCTTATTGGAAACCAACGACGCTGAGGTGGAATCTATTATTGGTTCGCTAAAACGGGATTGTGCTGTGGGTTGGGATGACATACCCACTGCCTTATTAAAACACTACAAACTGATACTTGTACCCATAATCACCCACAAATGTAACATCAGTATCAATGCTGGTGTTTTCCCGACTGCTTTCAAGAGGGCAATAGTGCATCCGATCTTCAAGTCTGGGGATCGGTCTTGCACAAATAACTACCGCCCAATCTCAATCCTACCATCACTCTCTAAGATACTTGAACGGATTATTAATTCGCGTCTAAAGAGTTTCCTAGAAACCACTTCGGCTCTTTCCTCCAGGCAGTATGGTTTCCGTTCCGGGAAATCCACAGCAGATGCTGTCCACGATTTTACAAACACTGTAATTGAAAACCTTGACCGGGGACAGAAATGCTTAGCTATCCTACTCGATCTTGCTAAGGCATTCGATACGGTTTCCATTCCCCTCTTATTGAGAAAACTAGAATTCTTGGGAGTTAGAGGGAATCAACTGAAACTTTTCGAAAGCTACCTTACGGATCGAAGACAGATGGTGAAAATAGATGGTACAACTAGTTCCGACCTCCACATAGAATATGGTGTCCCTCAGGGTAGCATCCTAGGCCCCTCCCTGTTTTTAGTTTATATCGATGAGCTCTGTTCTCTCAACATCCCAAACTGTAAGATCGTCTCCTTTGCAGACGATACTGCCCTTATATTTTCAGCTGATAACTGGGAGGAAACCTATCAAGTAGCTCAAGTTGGATTCGATCTTGTTTCCTGCTGGCTACAATCAAACCGACTTACCCTTAATGTCCAAAAAACTCAATATATGCCTTTTTCAATCAAAAAACCAACCATTAAATCCAGAAGCAACTTCTCAATTGTTGCTCATTCCTGTTCAAATCATGGAAGTATGGATAAATTGGCCTGTAGATGTCCAAACCTAAATAAATCTGAGACAGTTAAATATCTGGGTGTGCTTATCGATGAC